CTCCAGCGACTGTTCCTTCCGGACAATGTGTCCAAAGTATGAGAGACGAAGCCTAGCCATCTTGGCCTCCAAGGAGCACTCTGGTTGTACTTCTTCCAAACCAGATCTATTGGTTCTTTTGGCAGTCCATGGCACTTTCAGTATTCTCCTCCAACACCACAACTCAAAGGCATCAATTCTTCTACGACCTTCCTTACTCACTGTCCAGCTTTTGCATCCATATGAGGTTATTGGAAATTCCTAACATGAGTAAGCCTTAAATTGTGAGTGTGATCTGTGAGTGAGTCCTCTGTGACCATTGTAACTAATTCTTGAACCCAGCAGAGAAGTAGAGAGCGAAGTGGGAGGGACCGCTGTTGGGAGAATTGGTAAACATTGGAGGGTGGAGGGTGGAGGCATTTCTGACTTTGGACTGTTGCTACAGATAACTCCTTCGCCCCTTCCAGAAGTTTCCTGTTGTTGCTAAGTGCCGTCGAGTCGATTCCCACCTATAGCGACCCTCTTTATAGGGTTTCCAAGGAGCAGTTGGTGAGCTTGAACCACCGATCTTGCCGTCTGGCGCATTAGCTCACAGTGGGATGTCAAATGATACCCCAGGCCATGTTTACAACCACCTTGCGTCCTGACCAGGACCCCTGGTAGCGCAATGGGTTAAGCACTGGCCTGTTGACCACAATGTTGGTGGTGCAAAACACTTCCAAGCCGTTTCGCAGAAGAAACACGAGGTTGTCTGCTCCCGGACAGGATACCCCGTGGAACAGCTCTGGTGTGGAGTCCTGGTGTGGAGCTGTTGGATAAGCACTGGACCGCAAAGTCTAGTTGAACCTCAAGGTCAATGGTTCAAACCTACCAACACTCCTCGGAAATCCTATACAGGGTTGCTATGAGACAGCACTTAACAACAAACACCGTGACAACGGGGTAGTTCTACGCATCCTCTAGGATCGCTATGAGTTGTAACCGCACTTTAACACCACCATAACAACATGGGTAATTCTACTCAGTCCTCTAGGATCGCTGTGAGTTGTAATCGACAATACGGCAGTGGGTTTAGTCTCAACAGCAGACGTTCCTGGAGTCCTGTGTTTCCTAAACTTCCTCCTCATTCCTCTGAACCACAGACGCTGACCACTCTCAGCCCTCATTAATAAGAAACCTGGAACAGAACCTCCCATGATGCACATCCTCCGGCTCCAACTTTATTGAACCACATGGTAAATCCGCACCAAATCCAGACCCGCATTCATCGCCAACACCACCTCCACCGCAGGCAAGACTGACTGACTGTCGGGACATCCTGAAACGTACAAAGGCACGAATCCCACCTGCTTCCCATCAGACACCTCCATCGCGACGCCCCCTCAAGAACCCCAAGTCCTCACTACGCCACGCTCACACACAAGCTTTGTCATATTCCAAGGACAAATCACCCACTAATCTATTTTTCTCTTGAATTACTCCCAAGTTCCGAAAAAAAAAAAAATCACACTTACTTCCTTGAACTTCTTCTACTCGAAATCTCGCGCAGAAGCCTAGTTCCCCTACGGGGGCTGGCGAGGGTCTCAGACTTTGGAAGGATTGCGAATAATGGTGTTTTCGGCATAGGCTCCGTAGGTAATATGTCTGCGCCCATATCGTGCCCGTTGGGAGGCGGCCATATTTTGGCAACGTCCGTACAAAACAAAAGGACCTTCCCCACCCCCCCGCCAGACAATTGCTCCCCCCGGAAAAATAAGAAAACAAGGAAACTGTCCGGTTCCTTGTCTCTTTGACCCTTGCAAAAAATTGATTCATTTTCAGTGACTCGAGTTTCAAAAGGAATAATGTCACGAACCAAATTGTTTTCATAGGGGCGAGGCAGAAAAGTAAAAGGTCGCAAACTGTAAACTGTCTAAATAAGAAAGCAACTTTGAAAACGTAAAAATGGGATTGTAAGGGCCCAACTAATTTTACCTAGCTACTTGACCAAACTTTAGTCAGGCTGTAAGAAATCTTCCAAATACACTAGGCCTTAGTTCCCCAGTTCCCACCAAGGACAAGGCCAAACTTCAAAACTTCAAGAAATTTATAACGGTCAAACTGACCCAGGCAATGATTTTACAACAGCTGCAAACACCTGTCTTGAGAAAATATCCTGACCACACACACTTACAATTAATTGCTCTAGCCTGTGCCAAAACCAATTAACGTATAGATTAGAATGCTTGCTACGTGCCAAAGCCAGTAGAAATATAGATTATGAATAAGTAACCAATCAGAAATTGTATCTATGGTACTGCACAATTATGCCCCTAAAACCTTATAAAAACTAGCTTGTACTGTAAAAGGGGGTCGCCTTTGTCTCCTGCTTTTGTGAGTGAAGGTGGACCCCAG